AGAAGTTACCCTCCTCCCTCCGGACAATCCTCAAGGGATCTCTCTCCCACTGCAACTATCCGCCTCCCACTCTCTCCCTATTTATTTCAAAACCCCCTTCCCCTCCCCCTTTTCTGATGAAGGGTCTAGGCCCGAAACGTCAGCCTCTCTGCTCCTATGATGCTGCTTGGCCTGCTGTGTTCATCCAGCCCTGCACCTTGTTGTCTCGGATTCTCCAGCATCTGCAGTTCCTACTATCTCCACTCTGTATCTTGACTGGGGCAGCAAACTATAAGTCTGAGATGCCAACAAAGAAACCATAGCAACACAAGCTTGATGCTAGATTCCTTCTCTGAAGATGGACTTTGACACCTCATATGGAATTAACAACATCTTGTTTCAAGCCTGCTCCCAAAAGGGTTATGTCTGTTCACCCTTTATGCTCTGAGTTACTGGGTCAGTAATTATTTTGTGCTGTAAATCTCAACGACAAAGAATAAAATGTAATGAGTGAGAGATTACAGTCACGGCCAGACACAAATTGTAGGCATTGGATATTTTTTAAAAGATTTAGACAGAATGACACAAATTTGTCTTTGAGTTCATCATTTGGTTAATTAAATTGTTCAATTTCAGAATCACTAAACCTCAAAAGTGAGTTGAAGACAAAATCATGAACATTTCTGACAGTAAATTGTAGTGATTTTATACAGAACGGTGTTTATCAAGCAGTGGAAAACGAAACAACCTTTCTCCTCCGTTCTAGAAATGATCATATTTAATTTGCTTTAGGAATCACATAGATTGATAGGTGAAACAGTCAAAGTAATAAAGTAGGCTGGCTATTATACTGTGTAATATTACTATTTATAGCAGGTTCCTATATTTGCCTGTGTTCTAAACATAGCTATTGATATATCTAAACCAGCACTGCTTAAAGTGAAGGAGGATTTTGCTTCAAGTGTTTGTGTGATTACATGAGACGGTGTAAATTTTCCAGATTGTACTCTCTCTGGTTGCTGAAGGATGCTATGCTGAATTTCTAGTTGTAATATCAGAGACTTGATTTAATAGGAACAGCTTTTCCAATCAGTACGGTCTAGTGATGTTATTTCCAGAGTCGGTCATCCTTACATTTGAAGATACACCTGCATGTCATTTAATTTGGATGTGATGTAAGTTATAAGGGCTCTTGTGGTGCAGTGGTAGTGTCCTTACCTCTGAGCTAGGAGACCCGGATTCGCATCCCACCTGCTCAGTGGTGTGTAACAAAGATTAAACAGCCACAGTGTGATTGGGTCATAGGGCAGCACTCTCATTAGGGAGAGCATTGACAAGTGATTGTAACAAGGTCAACCAAGTGGACCTGATAGGATACAAGTTCCCTGATTGGGGCTGTTAACCTGGTCCAATCAGGGAGCCCTGGTTGACAGATACAAACAAGAGTGTCAGAGGTTCTGCTCACTCCGAGAGATCGCCCTGAGAGAGCTGGGACAGTGTCAAATACTTTGCATGTGTAAATAAAGGGTGTCTTGGTGTCAGGACACTGTCCTTTGTGGAGTGATTTCAGACTGGTGGTGGTTTAACTTGAGGGTCACGTCACTTCAAGTGAGTGAAGAGTTTGAGAAGGTGAATCCTTCGTGGTAACCTCAGCCAGTGTGGGAATTGAACCCATGCAACAGGCATTATTCTGTGTTACCATCTAACCATCCAGCCAACTGGGCTAACTGACCTTCAAGAGGGCATTGCATGGTCATTTAGATAGAATTGATAAACCGTGACATGGGGAAAAGGCAGGAGATTGGCACTAGGTCACAGGACTGGGCAGGCACAATGGGCTGAGTAGTCTCTTTCTGCACCATAATAATTTCTTGACTTCTGTGATTCTATCTTCTGATTTAAAAATCACTGGAAGTAACTGATTTTGTGATTTTGTCCCCTGATTTAAACATCGATGAAGACAACTGATTTTGTGATTCTATCTCTTGATTTAAAAATTAGTGAAAATAACTGATTTTGTGATTCTGTCTCCTGATTTAAAATCACTGAAAACAACTTATTGGACCATAGAGTCATAGAGTCATACAGCACAGAAACAGTCCCTTCGGTCCAACCAGTCCATTCCAAACTAAATTCCAAACTAAACTAGTCTTTCCCGCCTGCTCCTGGTCCATGGCCCTTTCCTATTCATGTATCTATTCAAATCTCTTCTAAACGTTGTAATTGTACCCACATGCATCACTTCCTCAGGAAGTTCATTCCAAAAACGAACCACCCTCTGTGTAAAAAAATTGCCTCTTTTGTCTTTTTTAAATCTCTCTCCTTAAAAATGTGCCCCCTAGTCTTGAGATCCCCCATTCTATGGAATAGACATCCAGCATTAACTCTATCTATACCTCTCATTATTTTATAAACATCTATCAGGTCGCCTCTCAACCTCCTACACTCCAGCGGAAAAAGTCCCAGCCTATCCAGTCTTTCTTTGTAACTCAAACCTTCCATACCTGGCAACATCCTGGTAAATCACTTCTGAACCTTTTCCAGCTTGATATTATCCTTCCGATAACTGGGCGACCAGAACTGCACGCCGTATTTTAGAAGAGGCCTCATCAACGTCCTGTACAACCTCAACATGACTTCCCAACTCCTACACTCAAAGGACTGAGCAACAAAGGCAAGCATGTCAACTGTTTTTTCAACCACCCTGTCTATAAGTGACACAAACGTCAAAGAATTATGTACACGCAGCCCTAGGTCCCATTGTTCTACAACACTACACAAGGCCCTACCATTAATAATTATACAAGCCCTACTCTTGTCTTTTGTACCAAAATGCAATACCTCACATTTATCCAGATTGAGCTCCATCTACCATTTTTCAGTCCATTGACACATTTCATCAAGATCCCCTTGTAATCTTAGAAAATTTTCTTCACTGTCTTCAATGCCACCAATTTTGGTGTCGTCCACAAACTTACGAACCATGCCTTCCATATTCTCATCCAAATCATTTATATAAATGATAAACAGAAGAGGACCCAGAACTGATCCCTGTGAAACACCACTGGTCACAGGCCTCCAGTCCGAAAAGCAACCCTCCACCATTACTCTCTGTTTCCTGTCATTAAGCCAATTGATGAAGGGTCTAGGCCCGAAACGTCAGCCTCTCTGCTCCTATGATGCTGCTTGGCCTGCTGTGTTCATCCAGCCCTGCACCTTGTTGTCTCGGATTCTCCAGCATCTGCAGTTCCTACTATCTATGTATCTAATTGGCAAGCTCAACCTGAATTCTGAAACTGAACCATTTGTTAAGTATACATTAAGTAAACATAATAAATTAAATATTGTCTGATATGAAAATGCAACAGAAACATGTGCACGAAGCTAATGCTTGTAATTTGGAATAATTCCTCTAACCAACAGAACCTTGCTGTCAGGGTAAGATTCAGAACAACTGATTCTCAAAAAGGGTAAAAGACTGTGGAACACGCCAAACGACCAATGTGGCTTTGG